GTTGAAGAACTCATGATTAATGTGATTATTGATTTTTTTTTTCAAGATGAATGATAAGGTTTTTGAAATTTTCAAGATTTTTGTTTTTATAATTTCACAAGATAAAATTTGTCTCTTACAATATCCTCATCTGAAATTATAAATTTAAGTTGAGTTTCGTAATCTTTTATTTTTCTGTAAGTAAAAATTTAATAAAAAATAAAAATATGTAGTATCTTGTTCCTAAAAACTAATGTTTCACTATAAAATTTTACCTATATAAATACATAAATTTAGTTTTATTCTACCATGCAATTAAAATTTACTTATATTCTAAAACTCATTAACCTACTAAAAATTTGAAGTATGATCATTTTAAATTTTTATCATTAAAAGTTGAATTATATTATTATTACTAATAAAAAATTTATAGTTTGTTTTATTATTTTAACATCTCATTCATTTTACATAATTCATTTTTATTTATTTAAAATTTAAAATCTTTTAATTACAAGTAACATAAATATGCATAAAATAAATGTTTTTAATTTATTTTAATGTAAAATAAATTGTCTTGCTTAGGTGTGATGCAATATTGAAAATACGGTTAACGATTATGGCCCATTAACAAATGGTTCAATGCAAATCAAGCCCAAATTCAAAGGAGTATGAAAAAGTGACTATATACAAAGAATCAATCTCCATTAATGACGATTGATAAAATCTCTCAAAATTAATTCCTCATTGATTTCTATAATTAATTTGATTTATTTTGCATTTATGTTGATATTTTGTAATTTGAGTCTATATAAACTCATTTCTCTCTTCATTGTAAAGATATAGATTTTTGGAATATAAAAGAGAAAATTTTCTCTAAAGCTTAGGTTTTTTTTTTGTTTATTTTAGTTATTCGGATTCCTTTACATAGTAAACGTTTGAGTCTATGTCCTTTTTGTGGATTCATTAAGGTCTAGATTCGTGATCTCATTACAAAGGCTGTCACACCTTTGAGGGGTGATCTTCGATCCACCATCAAAACCATCAATCGATCCAATAAGTGAGAGCGACCGTTAGCTCGTTTGATCCTATATCTATCTCCGCATCCATCCATTGAACAATAAGAGAGAGCGTTAAAGCCAGCTTCCCGTGACTCCATCTCCTATCACCAAGCTTTAGATCTTATATCAAGGTAGATGCTTATGTGGATAGGGTAGATGGAGAGAGGACTCCCATTTTTTATATAGGGTGTGTTAGTATTTAAGGTAATTTTAAATTTTAATTTAGCAAATAGGGTAGTTCTAAGTTTTTATTAGATTTTTGGTAGTTTTTAAGGTAGTTTTGTACGGTATATAACAAATGATAAAAATATCCTTCTCTCCAAGTGTGTCACCGTGGGTCCGGAGGTAAGAGAAATCGATTTTTCCTGTGTGGATCTCGTATAAAGATAAACTAAAAATATTTTTTATTTTTGTGCACTATAGGAAAAACGCATATTAATAGCATTTGAAGATAGCATTTTGTATGTTTATGCTATAGTTTAGGTTTGCCCTATTTATTTATAGCGTTTCGTGAAAACAAACGCTATGCTATGTTGCACGGCAAAAAGTAATTATGCTCTCGCTTAATTATCTGGATATTCGATGGCATATCCATAATTTAAATGCTATAATATTGTCAACCGCAAAATAAAGATTTTGTTGGTCGTGAAATAAAATGTTGACCGCCAAACAAAAGAAAAGTTTGGCTAAAAAATACGTTAATTTTTCATTAAAATTAGGTTTCTCTCGTTTGAAAAAATTCCCCTTTGTCTCTCTTTTTTCCTCTGTTTTTCAATCGACAATCTCCCATAAATTGACAATCGACAATTCCCCTTTGTTCTCTTGCACCTAATTTGACTATTATCTGTTTCGATCTATTAATCCCAGTCTCGTTCCTTCATTCTTTGTATCGATCTCTCTATCAATCTCTCTTTGTCTCGATATCTCTATCAATCTCTCTTTTTCTCGATTTCTCTATCAATCTCTCTTTGTCTTGATCTCTCTATCAATCTCTGTCTTGTTATATCAAAGATTTCTCGATCTAAACCTTCTTAATCGTCGTCATCAGCAACGGTGTAAATAGAAGCAGTTTGGTCGATTTTGGCATTTAAGGTAAAATAAGGGTTGGGTTATCAGATTTAAACTCAAAGTTTGGTCGGATCATTGAAATTTTAGTTAATCGATTTTCAATTTGGGAATTTAATTTTTATATTTGACTGTTTTTACAGTTCAGTTTCGCACTAGAAGGAGTCACATGTATGTGATATTTAGATTTTAAGATTAATCTGAGTTGTTTTTTTATTCTAAGGTAGTGATTATGTCGATTTCTTTTTGTAGACAGTCTTCAAAGCTAAAAGGTTTTGTTGTTTTGCGATTGTTTTTACTCCGTAAGCTGTTATTTTCTAACTCATTTGTTTCATTGCAAGTATATGTTGATTTGATTGAAAGTTAGTTGAATATCTTATTCTTTGAATTATCATCGGTGATGGAGCTGTGGTCCTATCGTTGTGATATGGACAAGGCATGGGTGTGGCTTCCAAGGTATGAGTCTCTTTGAGATATGAACTTTTGTATTTTCATTCATTAATTGATAACAAATACTTTTGTGGTCTGATTATATTGATATTATTATGAATTATATGTCATATATGGGTGCCCATTATATGGTGATATGTCTGTATTTTACTTGTTTTAAGCATTCATTTGTCATCACTTTAGCATCATTTCATCATTGTTTCATACCTTTCTTCATCATTTGTCCACACTTTGCATGTTTAGGATAGTTTTGCATACATATTGCATTCTTGAGTTGTTTTCAGGTAATTTGGAGCTGTTGGTGAGCAGATTGGAAGAAGCGAAGCGGAATCAAGCAGCATACTCGACCACGATGTCGAGTATCCTCAGCCAAAACACTTCCCATCACTCGACCATGCCTCTTCACCACCACTCGAGTATACACAATCGAGTACCCTCTATCACTTCACCTCAACTTCACTCGACCGCGTCACTCCACAACATACTCGACCACGAGGTCGAGTATCCACAGCCAACACTTCTCAGAGTTACTCGACCTCACATTCGACTGCACAACTTCAGAGTTTTCTCAAATCTGCACTCAACTAGACATTTGAGTACGAGGAAGAGAAGAGGATGAAGCGGACACTCGACCACATACTCGACCTAGGTACTCGACCGCATCACGACCAGAGCAAGAATCCGCAAAGGCGCCAGCTTTACTCGACCTCGTCTACTCGATCACACGAGTCGAGTGTCTCTATAAACCGCCTTAATACTTTTTCGTTTTGTGTTTTAGGGCTTCCTAGTATTTGCTATAAATAGGTTGTTTTTCTTAATTTTCGTTTTCATGTTTTAATCTGGAGAATAATTAGTGTTTTTCATCATCTTTGTAATCCGAATTCCTCTTAATCTATTGAGTTTTTGCATTTGATTTCTTCTACAAAGTTCTTTATCTTGTTGAGATCTTGAAGTTATGAAGTTTTTATGCATTTCTGGGTTTATGTTCTTAGTTATGAATTTTGAGTAGTGATTAGAGTTCTTGAGGATGGGTTAGAGTAGTTAAGAGTCCTTAATCTGTTAGGTGGTTGAGTTTGATTGGTAGATCCCTTCTGGATTAGTTGTTCTTAATGCTAGTTGCTTTCTGATCAACTGGAATTTAAGCCCAGACTTTTCCGCACCCACAAGGTGTTCGATGAAATGTCTGAACCACTAATTCCAGAGATTCGTGTCTCTGTACCAAGGTGTTGGTTACAGAGAGTGTTTTGGCTTTAACTTGTTAATTCGTAATGCATGTTAGGTTAGCTTTCGTCAATGGTGATTGAGTCTGGAACTAGCTTAGCTTGAGGATCTCTACTGCGGTAGCACTTTGATTTGGTGTTGAACTTATTGTCTAGGGATACTTTGTAGAGCATGTTAACCACCTGTTAGATTTAGGTAACTTCACTACTCGATTATCCCATCTTCGAGAATTTCTCTTCCAATTGATTTCTCTGTTTTCATCGCTGTTCTTTGCTTGTTCTTATTGCCTGTTGCTGAGTTTTTGTATTTCTCGCCTGTTTTCACTTGTATACTCGACCACACCTTGTGTCTGGTAATAGACTGTGCAGTCGAGTATAGCTGTTGCATTTTCTGTCTTTCCCCAGGTATATTGCGTGTTTCTGCATATTCACTTAGGACTGTTAGAAACTTCAAAACATGTTTATGCTTCGCTTGACTCTGTGAATTCTGATTGCATCTTGATTGACACCTTAAATACTGCAATAACATGATAGTACTTTAAGGAATTGAGAACTAGTTAAAATCCTACAATCAATTTGCCGCCGTTGCCGTTTGGGTGTTTGTTTGTTACATTTGAGATTTCAGACATACTTAGATCAAGTTCTATAATTTTCGCTTCAGTTACTAACTTTGTGTTATTTTCTTTGTGTTTGTGATCCAGGTACAACTCTGTTGTATGCAAACTTGATCAAAGGGCAATCAGAACCTCCTTTTTATTGACAACATCAACCGCTTAGCCAGAAACTAAGGAAAAGGAGAGACACAGTAGACGTTGAGCACCATCATCCTATCAGAATGGCAGTTGAACAAGATGATGGGCTGCCTGCAAACATTGGTGCTGGAGATGCACCAAGTAACCACCGTCAGCGGCAAGGGATTGTGCCTCCTGCCGTTCAAAACATCAACTTCGAGATTAAAAGTGGTCTCATCTCGATGATTCAGGGAAACAAGAACCACGGTCTGCCTATGGAAGACTCACTGGACCACCTAGACAAGTTCGATAGGCTCTTCAGCCTAACTAAAATCACCGGAGTCAGTGAAGATGGGTTCAAGTTCTGGTTGTTTTCATTTTCTTTAGGTGACAAAGCACATATCTGGGAAAAGAATCTTCCACATGGCTCCATCACATCCTGGGACGACTGCAAGAAGGCCTTTCTTGTAAAATTCTTTTCCAACGCAAAGACTGCAAGGCTGAAAAATGAGATCTCTGGTTTTGCCCAAAAGAATGGCGAAAGCTTCTGTAAAGCCTGGGAGCGCTTCAAAAGTTACATCAACCAATGCCCTAATCATGGCTTCAGTAAAGCCTTACTGCTCAGCACTCTTTACAGAAGTGCTCTTCCACGGATCCGGATGCTTCTAGAGACCGCGAGCAATGGGAATTTCCAAAACAAGGACGTTGCTGAAGGCTGGGAATTGGTTGAGAACTTAGCTCGGTTAGATGGTAATTACAACGAGGACTGCGACAGGACCAACGAAGGAACAACTGACTTGGATGATAAACACAAGAAAGAGATGAAAGCTCTTAATGAGAAACTGGATAAGCTTCTCCTTGGCCAGCAGAAGCATGTGCATTTTCTAGTTGATGACGAGCAGTTTCAAGTCCAAGATGGGGAGGGAAACCAGTTAGAAGCGATCAGCTACATCAACAATCAAGGTGGCTACAAAGGGTACAATAACTTCAAGACTAATAACCCCAACCTTTCTTACCGCAGCACTAACGACGCTAATCCACAAGATCAAGTGTATCCTCCACAACAACAGCAGAACCAAAACAAACCTTTTGTTCCTTACAACTAAAGTTTTGCTCCCAAGCAACAATTTCAGGGGAACTACCAGCAGCAACCACCACCTGGGTTTGCACCTCAGCAGCACCAAGGTCCTACTGCTCTTGATTCTAATATGAAGCAAGTGCTACAACCGATTCTCCAAGGACAAGCATCTGGCTCAATGGAGATCGCTAAGAAGATGGCTGAATTACAACTATAATGACCTTAATGTAAAAGTGGAGGCATTGAATTCCAAGGTCCGATACTTAGAGGGACAATCTGCATCTACTTCTGCTCCAAAACCTACTGGCCAACTTCGAGGCAAAGCAATTCAGAATGTAAAAGAATATGCTCAGGCTCATGCTATCACCCCCTGTGTAGTGGAAAAGAACTCCTAACCAGAGAGGGACCTAAGCCAGTTACTGAGGACAGTGCAGACCAAGATGAGGAGGATTTTATGCTCAATGAAGATCAAGCTGACAAGCCAACTGAAGTACTCGACCCTATACTCGACCGTGTTACTCGACCAACAACTCCAGTAACATCATCCACACCTCTAAAACCAGTTGCTGCTAAAAACAAGGAGAAGGTGTTTGTTCCTCCTTCTTACAAGCTGATATCTTTTATTTTTGTTAGTTTTACAGCTTTGTTTATCTTAGTTTTTAACCATTTTGCATTCATGTTTAGGTTATTAGGTGTATATTTGCATTGCATTTCTTACTTCTAGGTTCATGGAGTGGATTTTAGAGTTTTGATGGCAATTGGAGCACTAATGGGGTAAAAAGAAGTAAATCAAGCAAAAAGGAACTAGAGGAGTATGAAGAGATGGAGAAGAAGATGCATCAGGTTTCTACGTCGACGTATGCACCCTGATGCGACATGTCCTGAAGACTCTGAATTCCTTCTGTTGATACATCAGCCATATGCATCGACATATGCACCCTGATGCGAGATGTCTTGAAGACTCCAAGTTATCCTGTTGATACATCAGCCATCTGCATCAGCTTATGTACCCTGTTGGGAGCCAATTTTCCCTATTACCAGAATTCGAAAACCGGATCCGACCCGCCTGTTATGGGTCGACCCGGTCCGTTTTAGGCTTCTATTTAAGTGATATTTGACCTAATTTCTGTGGTCATGCTTTGTTTAGAGATCAAAAACTTCTCTTAAGGTTTCTTTCTAAGTTTTTGTATGAATCTTTGGTTTTGTTGAGTTTTGAATCCAAATTTCTCATTTATTCTCTTATCTACCTTCTCTAATTATGATTTCACAAAGATCAAACCTATTGCTTTGTGTAATCATGATCATGAGTGAGTAGTCATTTAGAGTTCTTGGGTTAAGGTAGATTAGGATGGTTTAGTTGTTGGGTTATGGAGTTTAGGGCTAGATTACTTAAGATCCTTACTTATTGGTTGTTTATAATGCTAGATTAGCCTTGATCATGTTGATTTGGACTTTAGGGATTTCATGCCCGGAAGGTGTTCGATGAAATTCCCGAAACAAAACCTTTAAGTACTTTACATTCCTTACCTTTTGAAATTGTTGACTAGGGTGTTAAGTGGCTAGATAGACTTGTTTATAATGCTTGTTAGTCAATGGATTGCCTTTGGAAGAAGTTGATGATTAATTGACCAGTAAATGGACTAGTGTCATGGAAATGTGTTAGTGTTGCTTAGTGTTCTTTGGCCTAGGGATCATTGCTTATTAGAAGTTGTTTGAACCTCCATAATCCACTTCTTTATCATTCATAATCAATTCTCTTTAACCCGAGAATTCGCTTTTAGTTATCGCTTAGCAGCTTGTTATTTTTCGGCTTTGTTTACTTTCGAAACTTGTTAGTCTTTTGCATTTTACTTTTATTTGTCTTGTTTTGCATTGTTTGATTGTTATTTACTTTGTTAGTCAAGTTTACAAAACCCAATCATCTTATTAGCCTAGATTAAGCTTTTGCGTGTATTCCTAGTGAGTTGATCAATTGCAAATTGTGGTTCAATATTTAATTGAGTAAAAGTACTACATCACAAGCCTTCCCTTCCATTTCCTGGTCGACACAAGAAAGCGTTGGCAGATAAGTACAGAGCTATGTTTGCCAAGAACATCAAAGAAGTTGAAGTCAGGATACCTCTTGTTGATGTTCTAGCACTCATCCCGGAATCCCACAAAATTCTGAAAGACCTGATCATGGAGAGAATTCAAGAAGTGCAAAGAATGGCAGTGTTGAGTCATGAATGCAGTGCTATTATACATAAAAAGATCATTCCAAAGAAGCTTGGTGATCCTGGTTCATTTTCTCTACCATGCTCCTTAGATCCATTGGCTTTCAACAAATGCCTATGTGATTTAGGAGCATCTTTCAGTCTCATGCCACTCTCTGTTGCTAAGAGACTGGGTCCACTCAATACAAGTCCTGCAACATCTCCCTTATTCTAGCTGAAAAATCAGTAAGGATCCCTCATGGGTTACTTGAAGACTTACCAATCAGGATAGAAGTTGTGGAGATACCTACTGACTTTGTAGTGCTTGAGATGGATGAAGAACCCAAGGATCCTTTGATTTTGGGGAGACTTTTCTTAGCAACTGCTGGAGCAATCATTGATGTCAGGAAGGGAAAGATTAATCTGAACCTTGGCAAAGATTTTAAAATGACGTTTGACATAAAAGATACGATGAGGAAGCCTACTATAGAAGGGCAACTGTTTTGGATTGAAGAAATAGATTAGTTAGCTGATGCGTTACTTGAGGAGCTAGCAGAAGAAGATCACCTTAAGAGTGCTTTGACCAAGGATGGTGAAGATGGGTTTATGCATTTAGAGACTTTGGGTTATCAAAAGTTGTTAGACTCACATAAAGCAGTAAAAGAGTCAGACTCCTTTGAGGATTTGGATGGGTCAGCAACAGAAGTAATGGCAGTGAATGAAGAAGGGTCAACATAGGATCAACATGCTCACTCGAGTACCTACTCGACCGGACACTCGACCAACACAGTCGATGCCCCTGCGGAGCTGATCATTCCAACTTCAGATGACTGGTCTGAACTCAAGGCACCAAAGGTTGAACTAAAGCCGCTTCCCAAAGGGCTCAGGTATGCATTTATGGGTGATAACTCTACATATCCTGTCATTGTGAATGATGCATTAACTAATGAACAAGTGCATCTCATGTTAACTGAACTGAAAAAGCATAGGAGGGCCATTGGTTATTCACTTGATGATATAAAAGGCATTTCACCTAGTTTATGCACCCATCGCATTCACCTTGAAAAGAATCTTACTCTAGCATTGAACCTCAAAGGAGATTAAATCCTAATCTGAAAGAAGTAGTACAGAAGGAGATACTTAAACTATTGGAAGCAGGTGTGATTTACCCTATTTCCGATAGCACTTGGGTATCTCCTGTTCACTGTGTTCCTAAGAAAGGAGGTATGTCTGTTGTTAAGAATGATAAAGATGAGCTCATACCTACTAGGACTATAACCGGTCATAGAATATGCATTGATTATAGAAAACTGAATTCTCCATCTAAGAAAGATCATTTTCCACTTCCATTCATTAATCAAATGCTAGAAAGGTTAGCTAAACACCCTTACTATTGCTTCCTAGATGTTTATAGTGGATTTTTCCAGATACCTATTCATCCTAATGATCAAGAGAAAACCACATGCAAATGTCCATATGGAACCTTTGCATATAAAAGAATGCCTTTTGGTCTCTGTAATGCACCAGCTACATTTTAGAGGTGCATGACTTCTATCTTCTCAGATTTAGTTGAGGAGATGGTTGAGATGTTCATGGATGACTTTTCCGTGTATGGCCCCTCCTTCTCCTCTTGTTTGTCAAATCTGTGCAGGGTGCTTTCTAGGTGTGAGGAGACAAACCTAGTGCTTAATTGGGGAAAGTGTAACTTAATGGTCAGAGAAGGCATAGTATTTGGGCACAAGCTCTCAAAGAAGGGTATAGAGGTTGACAGAGCAAAGATTGAGGTTATGGTGCAGCTACAACCACTAAGGAGTGTCAAGGATGTAAGAAGTTTTCTGGGACATGCTGGGTTTTACAGAAGGTTCATCAAGGATTTCTCCAAGCTGGCGAGACCAATGACAAGGCTGCTCTGTAAGGAAACAGAGTTTGATTTTGATGAAGAGTGCCTGAAAACTTTTTAACTCATCAAGGAAGCTCTGATCTCAGCTCCAATAGTCCAAGCTCCAAACTGGGACTATCCATTTGAAATAATGTGTGATGCTTCAGACTACGCTGTAGGAGCAGTCTTGGCACAGAAGATCGACAAGAAGCTTCATGTCATCTATTACCCAAGTAGAAAAATGGATGATGGTCAAGTGAAGTATGCCACAACAGAGAAGGAGTTATTGGTAGTGGTTTTTGCATTTGAGAAGTCCAGAAGTTACTTGGTGGCTTCTAAGGTCAGAGTCTACACAGAACTTTCAGCCCTGAGGCACATTTATGCTAAGAAGGACACCATACCGAGGCTGTTGAGATGGATACTGCCATTGCAGGAATTTGATATAGAGATAGTAGATAAAAAGGGTATTGAAAATGGATTAGCAGATCATCTGTCAAGGATGAGGATTGATGATGAAGTCCCCATTGATGATTGAATGCCCGAGGAGCAACTTATGGCTACAAAATTATTTGGCAGGAGTTACAGGGGGAATGAGTTTCACCAACTAAATGCTCTCGAAGAAGGAAAGTCTCCATGGTATGCTAATCATGTCAACTACTTAGCCTGTGGTGTGGAACCTCCCAACCTGACCAGCTACGAGAAGAAGAAGTTCTTCAGAGATTTCTACCACGACTACTGGGATGAACCTTATTTGTGCAAGAAAGGATTGGATGGTCTCTTTAGAAGGTGTATTGTTGAGGAGGAAGTTCAAGGAGTGCTGGAACACTGTCATGGTTCTGCTTATGGAGGGTATTTTGCAACCTTCAAAACAGTTCCGAAGGTATTACAGGCTGAACTTTGGTGGCCTTCCATGTTTATAGATGCCCATGGATTCATAGCTAAATGTGATCCCTGCTAGAGGATGGGAAATATATCTAGGAGGAATGAAATGGCACAGAACCCGATGTTGGAGGTTGAAGTTTTCAACGTTTGGGGAATCGATTTCATGGGTCCTTTATATCCTTCTTCTCATGGGAATAAGTATATCCTAGTTGTTGTAGACTACGTCTCCAAATGGGTTGAAGCCATTGCAACACCAACTAATGATCATAAGGTGGTCTTGAAGCTGTTCAAAAGCATAATTTTCCCCAGATTTGGTGTATCTAAAGCTGTGATCAGTGACGGTGGTTCTCACTTCATCAACAAGGGCTTTGAAACCTTGTTAAAGAAGCATGGAGTAAAGCACAAGGTAGCTACTCCTTATCACCCTCAGACTAGCGGGCAAGTTGAAGTGTCTAATCGATATATCAAAGTTATACTAGCTAGAGTTGTTAGTATTTCAAAGAGGGATTGGTCTACCAAGTTGGATGATACACTTTAGGCTTACCCGACTGCTTACAAGACACCTATAGGAAGAACTCCATTCCAGATGATGTATGAGAATTCATGTCACCTTCCAGTTAAGGTTGAATACAAAGCGATCTAGACAACCAAGTTACTGAATCAGGATATAAAAAAAAGCTCAAGAGAAGAGATCGGTTGACTTACACGAACTTGAGGAGATTAGGCTAGAAGGTTATGAGAGCTCAAAGGTGTATAAGGAAAGGATAAAAGCTTTCCATGACAAGAAGATTATCTCCAAACACTTCAAGGTTGGTGATCAAGTGTTATTGTTCAACTCTCATCTGAGGTTGTTTCCTGGTAAACTGAACTCAAGATGGTCAGGACCCTTCTGCATCAAGGAGATCCGTCCTTATGGAACAATCACTCTTGTTGGTAAGAGTGGAGATTTCACAGTGAATGGCCAAAGGCTCAATAAATACTTGGTAGATCAAGTCCTTCCAGAGATGACCTCTGTTCATCTCTAGGAACCTCTTGATGTTTAAGGGAGTAAGGAAGTCAAGCTACTGACTTAAAACAAGCTTACTTGGGAAGAAATCCCATGCCTATCCTTGTACATATTTCTGTTTTCCTTGTAATTTTTCATATATTTTGGTACTGCTTTCAGGAGTTAAGTGTCAGGAGCTGAGTGAAGTGGATTCTGGCTGTAGAATACTCGACCACATCCCTCTGTTACCAGTGTAGCTGTGCGATCGAGTATGAAATGGGTTTCAGTTTCAAGATTTTTGAAGTTTCAACATGTCACTCTATCACGCGAGGCCACATGCTAATGAAGAGTCTTGGTCGAGTATAAGTGTTGATTTTGGCCCAAAATTTTCAAAAATCAGCACAATACTCGATCAACAGAAGCCACGTGGTGATTAGAAGATGAGGTCGAGTATGATGTTGTTTTGACCTAAAACTTCAAAAATTTAACATTATACTCGACCAACAGAAGCTACAGAGACTTAGAGTGACTTGGTCGAGTTTACAAAAGGTTGCGGGTTGTTCTGAGACTTTTTCAGTCAATGGGAAATAGTACCTCCAGACAAGAAAACTGCAGTGAAGCCCACCACCTCTCTTTTTGTCTCCCACACGCGTCTTTGAAGAGATAAGGTGGTATGGAAATTTTAACTTTCAATCTCCACCATTTCTTTTTCTTTGCCGACACCCACCCCATCCAAACATTCATCTCTCTCTTTCTCATTTTCACTTTCGTTTCTCACCTTTCATTTCTCATCTCTCTCTCTCACATTCACAAACACTCTCATCTCTTTCATCATTCTCGCATCACTCTTCCTTCTCTAATCCTCTCCACACCGATTCTCACCTTCGCTTCCACCACCATCTCTCTATACTCGATACTCTCCTCATCTTCCTCCATCATCATTCTATTTTGCTTTTCTCCACCACCAAATCGATGTCTCTTACTCGATTCCAACCTCCACAATCTTCTCTCCGCCTTCACCTCGTCACCGTTTCCACTCATCCGAAGAGGAAGTACTCGCTCGCCGGAAAAGTACTCGACCGCACAGAGGCCACTCAACCGCTACTCAACCATCCTCAACCCACTCGATCTCGTTGCCAACTGAGTACTCGACCGTAAGCAAGTTGTTGCAAATCGGAAAAGAGATTCAACGACACCGATATATCAACTACTCGACCGCAAAGCTACCTCAACTCAGTCGACCCCGCGATATTTGACTGCAACTTGTTTCACCGGAGAAGTAACCTTCACGACACTCGACCTTGTCGCCAGTCAGAGAAGAAGAGCTTTCACCAGAGCTCACTCGACACCGGAGGAATAGAACCACAACCTCTACTCAACCTCGCCGGAAAAATACTCGACCGGTTTACTCGACCAAACCGATTGATGTCATTACCTCTTTTGAACAATTCCGCTTTCATAGCTTTCTTTGAAAATAACCTATTAACGTTTAGTTTTGAGTTCCAAATCTTCATAGGTTCACTATGAGCAACTACAGTGGTGATTCTTCTATGGATGCAGACTACAATGTTAATGAAGCTGAGTCCTGGTCTACTAGACCAGAGAGAGAGGAACAAGCCTATGAGAGTTTCAGAGCTGATATGGATCGTGCTGCGGCTCTTAGTCAGAGACGAACTTAAATAGCAAGAGGAAAGCGGGCAATGACGGAGAGATACGAGTTGGTTGATGAAGACTTGGAAGGCTCGTATGTGCCAGAGCAATCGCACAGAGCCACAAAGCTGTTGAACAAGCCTGACGAGCTCACAGCAGAAGAGTATATCAAACTCTTCAAGTTGAATGACTTTTGGGGAACAAGGTATCCTTGTCATCAGACACTGGCAGAGCTGGGACTCCTCGACGATGTTCAGCACATGTTTTAAAAGTGTCACCTGGACACTCTGATGTCCTATCCATACGTCGCTTGCAAGGAAGAAACCATTCAGCTCTCCACACTGCAAGTGGAGATATACCATGGAATGAAAGAGGATGAGTTGGGGAGTGAAGGACTGGGCTACCTGACGTTTTCTGTGAATGGGCAGAGCTACATGTTGTCAATCAAGAGGTTAGAAGGATTGTTTGGTTTCCCTAGTGGAATGGGAAGCAAACCCAAGTTCAACTGAAGTGAACTGAAGGACTTGTGGCTCACCATTGGGAACACTGCACCGCTAAACTCTGCAAGGTCCAAGAGTAACCAAATCCGCAGCCCTGTTATTCGCTATTTCCACCGCTCTGTGGCCAATGTTTTATACTACAGAGAGATCACGGGCATAGTGACAAACTCCGACATGGAGATGATCGATTCAGCTCTCAGAGGAACACTCCATCGAACAAAGAATGGTTTGATTCTACAAGGAGATCTCAGTGATACGCCTCCATCAATACTTCTTTAGATCCACCTGTGTGGATATAAGAAGTGGGCAGTCACTAACAACAACAAGAGAGCGCGAGGAGCTCAATGTATAGGTGGTGTTGTGACACCAATACTGATAGCCTGCGAGGTGCCATATACATCAGAGGGGACAGACCCAAGAGCAATGGACTTTGAACACCTGCGACATTGTGAGTTTCTCGAGTATGGCATTGTTGGCGATATGCATCGCTATAGGTTTGAGCATCCGTCAAACAAGAGAGCCAACATCCTACTCCCATGCATCGCAGCTACAAGGATAATAGAGGGAGAGAACATTGACTTCAAGCCTGCAATCGATCATTTGTACATCGAGATCGCTCAGTCAATGGAAGAGGATGATCCTGCAGAAGAGGTTGTAGAAGAAGAGTTGGATGAGATGGATGAGGACAGAGAAGAAGAGTATGATACGAGTATGTATCACTTTGGCGAGCATGTAGCGCCTTTCAAACAGAGTAAGAGCTTGACTGAAGCTCACAAACAAACAAGCCTGCTGCAGAAGTGGAACAAGAAGCAGGACAAGATTATTTCCAAGTGCTTGAAGACTATCAAGTCTCTAAAGGCGATGATAAGTTGCTCCTCTTCCAGCACAGCTATGCCACGTGGACCAATTCCTGAGGAAATGCCCTCTAAGAGGTATGACATGCCTAAGCCAAGGCAGTCCATGCATGAGCAACATGAGCAAGGTGCCTCACAAGTCCCTGCAAGGCATTCCTCACACGAGCCTCAGGAGCATAAAAGAAGAAAGAAGGCTACACTTGCTCTCCCCTATAGCAAGGCGCGGCTCCTCTAGGCTAGATGGTCACTCGACCGCGGGACTGGCAGCCATTGAGGAGAAGAGGTCGAGTATCAAGGTGGAGATGGAACAGAAATTCAACAAGGAGACTCGTCAATGGCCTGGCAGGAAATGCAGGAGGGCATTGATGAACATATCAGCTCCTTTTTCGATTGAAGTAAGCACTACACTTCACCACTGTAAAACACCATCCTTTGTTTTTGTTTCTGTGATGTTTTTGTCCTGAGTACTCTCTTCCAAATTTGGTCACACAGAGGACTGTGTGATTTAAGTTTGGGGGAAGGCTCAGGAAGTGTTTGTTATCTGATGAGTTTCTTTTGTTCTTATTTTCAAATTTTTGCATTGTACATACTCTTGAGTCTGCATGCATCTATGTCATTGAAAAAAATTTGAAAAATTTCTGAAAATGATTTCACAAAAACAGAGTGTTAATGTAGTTGCATGTTCATCTTAAGATTGAGTCTAGAATGTTTCATATAGGATTGATGAATCATGCATTTGCATTGATGATTATGTTGATATTGCCTTGTAGAAATTCTGGTTTAGGATTGAACTTAAAGCCCTTGAGCATAGTTAACCGCTGCTTAGTCATCTGTGAAAAAAATGAAAAATCCATGCTTAGATTTCTGCATGTTTTGAAAGCAATTTCTACTTGTGTGATGCTTACATGATCTCTGAAATATCTCTATGAATTTGGACTTAAACTGATTTTAATTCTCTCGCTTATGGTATCTAAATACATTCTCATGGTTGTCTAAAAGACTCATTCGGGTTTTCTTTTCCATTTTACCAATCTGTTGTGAACCCGAATGGCCATTCTCATCTTTAGAATGGTTCCCCTAGCCATTACCTTAACCTTTTCTTTCAACCCTGTGATTTAATTGTGTGTGAGGCCTCTTGTTTGATAATGCTCTAGGTTATGAAATCTTGAGAGTATCGAGAATGACAAGGCTTTAACTCTTGCTTTAAGTTAGATATTGAAACTTCATTAAGACTAGCTGCTGGGTTGGGAATGAAAGATATAGGTGGTTAGATTGAATATTTGAGGTTGATCTGTGGGTTTGAGAGAAAGAGAAAGAAGGGAATAAAAAGAAAGGTTAATCAATGTGTTTTAAAAGAGTCCCTAGAGAATAAAAGTCATAAGTAAAAAAGCTCTAAGTCTCTAAGAAAGAAAAGAGAAGTTGAATAAGTTAGTTCTCCCAAAGGAAAGAAAGTCTCAAAGCTATATAAGTATTGGGAACAAAAGAAAAGTCAAAAGTAAAGGTTTAGAAAAGAGCTAAGTTATTAAAAGAATCCCCTAGGTGACTAGTAAAAAGAGTTTGATCTAAAGAGTTGTGCTTAAAAATAAGACCAAGTGGTATGGTGTTTTCTGGGAAAAGAGTGAATGAAAAGAATGTGGTAAGGGTAGAAGTTAAAGATTTCATCAAGATGGGTAGAACAGGAAGAGTTGAACTTTGTAGCATAAACTGTTCTTGGTCTTAGATAAATTTCATGACTATCTTGCATTCCTTGTTCCTGAGAGAAACCCACCAAAGAATAAAACACTTGAAACCACCCTCAAAAGGCCTTTATCCCTAAACAAATTGACTTTGATTCATTTACCATTTGCGAAACTGCACCAAACACTATAAAGAATGTTAAAGAGATGTTTCAGCTTGATTGTGAGTTTTTGCTAATAGCTAGAAGTTGAACTAGAAGCATGCATTGACATAATTATGGAGAAGTACGAAAGAGTAGATTGTTTGATTCATGCAGCTTTGAACTATTCTCAAGGACTTTAAGTTGAATCTTTTATTGGATGCTTTGCTTGGTTCTGAGTCCCCACTTTCACACCTCCCCTCCAGCTTGTTCTCAATTGTTTGCTTGAGGGCAAGTAAAGACTAAGTATGGGGGAGTGGATATGTCTGTATTTTACTTGTTTTAAGCATTCATTTGTCATCACTTTAGCATCATTTCATCACTGTTTTATACCATTCTTCATCATTTGTCCACACTTTGCATGTTTAGGATAGTTTTGCATACATGTTGCATTCTTGAGTTGTTTTCAGGTGATTTGGAGCTGTTGGTGAGCAGATTAGAAGAAGCCAAGCGGAATCAAGCAGCATACTTGATAACATGGTTGAGTATCCTCAGCCAAAACACTTCCCATCACTCGACCATGCCTCTTCACCACCACTCGAGTATACATGATCGAGTACCCTCTATCACTTCACCTCAACTTCACTCGACCGCGTCATTCCACAACATACTCGACCACGAGGTTGAGTATCCGCAGCCAACACTCCTCAGATCTACTCGACCTCACACTCGACTTCACAGGTTCAAAGTCTTCTCAAATCCGCACTCAACTAGAGGATGAAGCGGACACTCGACCACAGACTCGACCTAGGTACTCGACCGTATCACGACCAGAGCAAGAATCCGGAAAGGCGCCATCTTTACTCGACCTCGTCTACTCGATCACACGAGTTGAGTATCTCTTTAAACCGCCTTAATACTTTGTCTTTTTGTGTTTTAGGGCTTCCTACTATTTGCTATAAATAGGTTGTTTCTCTTAATTTTCGTTTCTATGTTTTAATCTGGAGAACAATTAGTGTTTTTCATCATCTTTGTAATCCGAATTCCTCTTAATCTATTAAGTTTTTGCATTTGATTTCTTCTACAATGTTGTTTATCTTGTTGAGATCTTGACGTTATGAAGGTTTTATGCATTTCTGGGTTTATGTTCTTAGTTATGAATTTTGAAAAGTGATTAGGGTTTTTGAGGATGGGTTAGAGTAGTTTAGAACCCTTAATCTGTTAGGTGGTTGAGTTTGATTGGTAGATCCCTTCTGGATTAGTTGTTCTTAATGCTAATTGCTTTCTGATCAACTGGAATTTGAGCCCATGCATTTCCGCACCCACAAGGTGTTCGATGAAATGTCTGAACCACTAATTCCAGAGATTCGTTCTCTGTACCAATGTGTTGGTTACAGAGAGCGTTTTGGCTTTAACTTGTTGATTCGTAATGCCTGTTAGGTTAGCTTTCATCAATAGTGATTGAGTCTGGAACTAGCTTAGCTTAAGGATCTCTATTGCGGTAGCACTTTGATTTGGTGTTGAACTTGTTGTCTAGGGATAGTTTGTTGAGCATGTTGACCACCTGTTAGATTAAGGAGACTTCACTACTCGAATACCCCATCCTCGGGAATTTCTCTTCCAATGGATTTCTCTGTTTTCATCGTTGTTCTTTGCTTGTTCTTATTGCATGTTGCTGAGTTTTTGCATTTCTCGCCTGTTTTCACTTGTATACTCGACCACACCCAGTGTCTGGTAACAGACACTGCAGTCGAGTATACCTGTTGCATTTTCTGTCTGTTTTTCATCAAGTTACTCGACCGCACCCTAGTGTTTGGCAGCAGACAGTCTTGGTCGAGTATATTGCCTGTTTCTGCTAGATTTTCTGTTTTCTAAATGTTCACTTAGGACTGTTAGAAACTCCAAAACCTATTTATGCTTGGCTTGACTCTATGAAATCTGATTGCATCTTGATTGTTAGCATCACACTCATTTGGATTGACACCTTAAATATTGCAATGACATGATAGTACTTCAAGGAATTGAGAACTAGTTAAAATCTTACTATCATATGGCCCATTAGTAGATTTTAGAAGACTTAATCTCTAACCTAAACCTTAATGCTGTATTCCTATATATATGTTGTATCTTGTACAATTGATCAATAACAATGAAAACAATTCCCCAAAACCTCTTTGAACAAAACACGTTATCAGCACGGGTTCTAAATAGCTGAGTAAACCCTAGTCAACCGAACATGTACGAAACCCATACAAGTTGATTTAACATAAATTTCCACCATCTTCACTTAAACTAAAAGAAATTCCAGAATCGATAATGGATGTCGTCTTCGTTCTCTGTCAATGGCGTCTCCAATCAATACTATAGAGATAAGTATTCATGACTTTATAATTATCTCCACATGTTTTTGTAATAACGTGGGATGAATATCTCATGTTCATGCTTTAATATATGGAGATTTACTCAGATGTCATACAAATTAGGTGTATTTACCAGAACGTTACAGAACTTTTTTATTACTGTCATATTTCGGTCCTATTTTGTATACCCATCGTGCCCCTATTAAACGTTACAGGAAAAAACGTAATTACAAGGAATGTCACTGCCACGTCAGCAAACCCGCGTCGCCACGTTAGAAATCGCTGACGTGTATTAATGAACTCAGCCGTAAAGCGATACAGCGGCAGTTACGGCTGAGTTACGGTATCTTGCGACTGATTTAAGACAAAATATCTGAATTATGAGAAAACGGCTGACTTATGAGTATAACTCAGCCTATAGTTACGACTGATTTATAAAATTTGTCTGAGTTATGAGATAACCCAGCCTACGTTACGGCTGATTTAATGAAATTTGTCTGAGTTATCAGAATTTCGAACATAACCCAGACAACGTTATGACTGAGTTTTTACCCGATGGCTGAGTTATTTCCTCGACACGGCTGAGTTATCTTTTTCTGGCTGGCTGAGTTATCAAATCTTAGTTATGGGATGTCGTTACGGCTGAGTTATGTTCGAGTGTCATAAATCAGCCGTAAAGAGCTGGATTCACGGATAACTCGGCCTAGTTACGGCTGACTTAGTAGCGAAAGATTAATTACTATAATAGCATGCAATTACGGCCGAGTTATTAAACATTACGGCTGAGTTAAAGATTATCGGTTGAGTTACGACATTAGAAGGCTGAATTAACTTGGCGTTTTTTCGTTTTTTAAGTACTGTAATAGT